GGAGAAAAAAAACCTAAATTTGATATAGTTCTAGAAAAGAAAGAAAAAATGTGCTTGAACTATAGACTAGGATACTAGTGTTTGAACAAAGCATTTTAAATAGATATTTCAATAGACTTATTTTTCTCTTCATATTGACTATTACTTGAATAAATATTTTTTCTTGAAAAAGAGCTCTATCATTTTTTTTTTGTGTATGTGTGTTTTCCGTGTATATACTATAGATTCACTATTTGTCAAAATAGAAAAAAAAGACTCAGGCATCATTTTTTTCGTTTTCTCTCTCTCTCTCTCTCTCTTTCACTCCTCCTTATTGTTGTTTTTTTTTAAAGCAAATAACAGATAATATCTTTTTTATATAATATATTTTTGATCGATATCGAACAAAATGAAAAAGTGTCGAATATTAATGGACTATGAGTCTGAAAAATGTTCTCTAACATTGTAAAATATGTTATAAATAAATAAAATAGACTAAACAAAACAAGTGATACTATATCCGATCAATGGTCTTGAATGGGCAAGATGTAAGTACAATGTTAAGATATCTATGATGAGACGAATGGCAATCATTAAATATATCCTTTATTTTATATTGTTTATAGTAAACATTCGATTTCACACAAATGTCTATATATCGTACGATATGACAGAAAAACATATGATTGTTTAATTGTCTTTTCTTTTTTTGTTTCATATTAGTTATATACATTTTTTTTCTTTTTCTTTATACATGTCATAAATGATGAGGTGCATGGTAAACGGTGATAGATATCCGAATAATAATCACCCTTAATTCGTATTGTTTTGTCAATAACATAATCTTCTCTTCTATTTTTGCTATTATTTCATACAGTACAGAAAAAATAGACTATTCCTCAAATAGAGTTCGAGTTGACCTATATTTTCGGATTATGTGATAGAAAAAATAAATACATAAATTATGCTATTTGTGCTTTTATTCCTTCACAAATATTTTAATCGTATGATCAATCTATAGTGTGAAACGAATGTTAAAGAGTGAAAATGTGCAAAAAATAAAAAATAACTGCTTTTTCGCTAACAATAACAATCTACTGAGAAAAGGCAATATGGAGGAAGAGACAAATGGTCAAAAAACGTTTTATCTCGTACGGGTTAATTTTAACTCACCTCTTCAACAGATTGATTTTTTCAGGCGAACAAACTGAGCATACATGCAGTAGAAAATGTGTTGATAAGAAATAATCGAGAGAATGTAAAATAAGTATTTTTCTCATTTATTTAATTTGTTGTTTTGCATTTATATAAGATGAAATATGCATAATAAACCTCAAGGTATGATGTATCTATCATTAAAGAAATTTTACAAGACGAGAGAATATGTCGAGGAGACTTCAGACTTTTGATTAATTTGTATTCTGAATAATAATGATAAGAATCATCGTTGGTTGACTGCTGACTTACAATATCTTCCTCTTTCAGAAAAAGTCATGTCAAAATCAGTGTTTTCAAATTGTTTTCGTCTAACATTCAAACTTTCACAATTCGCTCAAAAAAACATCAAAACCAGCTGGAAACTACAGGATATGATTAATTTTGTGTGCTGAACATGATACGATCAAAAGAAACACTGATTATCATAAAACTCAGTTCTGACGAGGTTTTTGAGTTCTTCTCGAAAAACAAACATTGCCACGAGATTTAGCGTATAGTCAATTATGTATGCTCCATATGATTTCAAGGATACGCAAAGTCATTTGGTATCAAAGTTCTGGAACGTCAAAAAAATTCAATACTCAGCTCGCATCAGTGACAATCAAGCTCTTACTTGATTCCTATTTTGAAGAGAACACCCTTGCCTATCTACTCATCTAAAAAAAAACACTATATTTTTTCCACTTTAATTTTTGGGAAACTTGGTTTTTCAAGCATCTCTTCAAAATTGTACTTTTGAAAAGAATATTCAAGCTTGTTCTGCTTACGAAAAGACGTTTCCCGGTCTCTTCTATCGAACGGCGAAAATCGCAAGATTACATCACTTTTTGTTCAAAAGCTATTCGAAATATAGTGGACTTTACTAGATTTTTTCGCATTTATTGTTCACATTTATGTTTAGCGATGTTGAATTGAAAGAATCCGCCACGTACGTACATATCCATTAGCACTAACTGTTTTATAAACGAAAAATATTTCGATTTATCTGTCTGTTTATGTTCAATTTCGTTTTTCATACTTTGAATTTTTACAAACTTTCCAATAATGTCCATTGAAACTGGGATATGTAACAAATTCTGGCTTAGATGTTTTCTCTGCAAAGCTATATCAATGATGAATCCAACTAAGGTTGCATTAAAAATGACTTTCTTAGGAAGAGAAAAACATCCTAAGTAAGCAGTCATCATTATCATATTCTTGTTAAAAGAAGTATCTATTTAATACTGTTATTGATTTTCTACGTATGCTACTATACAAGAATCTATATAAATATGAGGTGAACAGGAAAACTAAAATATGTGCGGCAAACATGCGAAATACGAAATTCAACTTACTGGACATTTTCATACAGATGCTGATAAAATTAGTTCTAAAAATATAACAAATAGTTTGAGAAATTTTGTATAGATAAACATTTTAGAGTACATCTAACTTCATGAAGGGATTCATAGAAAACGTTTTATTATTAACACCGATGTGTGTAAAAATACCAATACAAAAAAGATAACAAAAAACAAAAACACAAATTAAAAATATAAATATTTTCTTAAGTTAAAATGACTATTGTTTAACTTTCCATTTTGATTTCAGACTATTGATAAACTAAAAAGATAAACAAACTTTGTTCAGAACATCTGTGTCAGACGGATACATTTTTCTCTTCATCTTGAAAAAGTATGATGCAGGCATCTATGTCTTTTTTGAAGATTGTGTTTCACTACTCCTATTGCTGTTAAAAAGCTCGTACCTACCCTCTATATCATTGAAAAGAAAATATTATTCATATTCTCTTAATATTCACTACTTCACACTTCATCCAGGAATACTTCACAGACACGTTTAATATCATTTACTATTACTTCATGACCCTAAGAAAAAAATCAACTTATAGAACATAATGTCGACAACTCATTCTACTTTTAATTTACTTTACGCCTTTGACAAATCATATATTTATAATCTAATCAACTATATAGAATAACGTAACAATGTTTCTTTACCGATTTTGGTTAATAATAATTCTTCACACCATTCGGCAATCTTATCATTAATTTGTTCTTGTACTTCCGATTTAATTTCACCTGTATCATTCAAAAATAACCCTAAAAAACCTTGTGAACGACTAACTATTGATAATATCAATTTCATGTAATGCAACGGTATGGACAACTTCTTTACGTTTTTGTAATTCTTCTTCGGGATATTGAACAAATTTTGTCTAAAACAAATAAAAAATAGAATGAAATAATACAAAATAATCATGTAAAATAAAATGTGCTACTTACTTACTTGTGGTCGCATTGTGTGGTAATCTTTAGCACGCGTGAACGATCTACCGATTTTCGATATTTTCCCGATACTTTATCAATTGCAACTACATCACTAAAAAAGAATGAGAAAGTGGAACAAAGAACAAATCTCTGTATCATTCATACTCTGCCTATTCTTTTTCTTTTGTTAATGCTTCAATCATTTTCTGTCCTAAATCATAAACTGTTTCCATTTCAGTTGTTGTCAATGTTAATTTGCCAATTTTTGCTCCCTGAAAGAAACAACGATAATACTGATGAAAATTTCAATTGCTTCGTACCATACCATCCCCGTTGCTGGACGATCAATTTGTATTTCAAAAACCTTTGTTTCATCGGCAACAATACACTTACTTGCTTCGAATGCCGATTGATCTTCTAAAATTCTGTGTTAACGCTTCAGTTTTATTCATTTCAAGTAAGACAATTTCACTACCAGACATTGCTGTAAACGATATATCCGAACCGAGTGCTTGTGATATGCCTTAAAAACCAACAAATAAACAGTTTTATATACAGGACAGTTATTGTAAAAAAGAAAATAAAACACACATACCCATTGTGATAGCTGTTTTTCCCTGTTCCAGATTGTCTAGCAGGTTTTCCTTCTTTGATCATTTCAAGTATAAGTCCAGCTGAACGTCGTGCTTTCGCTTGTCCCAGCATACCGTGTGAAACGGCTAGTGCTTCGAGACTATCGTTGAGACTCAAATCACGAATGTGTCAATAAGGGCCTAACAAACCCAAAAAGTGCATAAAAATCATCGGCAATCATGACAAAAAAGAGTTCTTTTAAGTTCAGTTTATCGATGCGTTCAATTAGAGTAATGTCACGAATCTGTTGTACTTGAGTAGTTGATGGCTGATAAAATAATTTTTAAGTAAGCAAAAGTTAAACGAGAGAAGGCAAAACGCATTGTCCAATGCAAAAGAACTTATTTATTCCCAGATCAGATCCTTGTATCTTAAATTAATAGAAAATATAATAATATAACTCAACTGAGAAAAATTTAATTGAATTAAAGACAAGAATGATGCAGTCCTTGACTAATCAACTGTTGTTAACGCAGAAGTAACGACCAATCAGGATGCAATATACATTATAGATATTGCACATAATATAATAGATATCGCTATTTCATTCAGTGTTACAAAGTCCCTTAACAAACAACAGAAATCAAACTTTGTTCGAAAGTATTTCTCTTAATATGCTGATTGGATTCTTGTATATACGAATCAGTATATTCAGAGAAACACAACGAAAGAAATATATATTTATAAATATGTATACATATTAAAACTGATTTCTCTATCTTACCCTAATCGACACCACAAGAAAGTCTCCAGGGGCTCCCCGAGGAGTCCCCCCCCGAGGAGACTTTCTTGTACAGAAAGGACTCCCTGAGAAGTCCCTTCTGTAGATCTACTGATCCATCATTTTTAATTTCATATAACTAATTAGTAGTTAAGTGACAGGTACCATTACTGGTACCAGTGTAGCACATATCAGCCATCGAAGGTTGACACATTAATGTTGATTTACTAGAAGAAAATTCGTAAAATTTTATCATATAGAACTATATTATATTTATATATTGTCTATCTGCAAAATAAACGGTGAATGGAGAGTTGACAGGGACTCCCTGGAGAGTATAAGGATGACTTTCTAGGGCGGGCAGGGCTGTCGTGACCAGTTAGCCTTTGGGGGGTGCTCCACTGAGATAAGAATTTTTTTTTCTGCTGGGAAAAATCAAGAATTTTTACTTTTTGAGGGGTGTCGTACACCCTACATCTCCCCAGTAACGTCAGCCCTGGTCCTCGGGGATTATGCATTTTTCGGGCAGTCCCCGGGGAGTTTGAGGGGAGAGTCGACTAGGGTACAGTGGGCAGAAAATAAAGTTCATGCAGAGTCGCGGACATAGAAAACCACATGTGATGTTTTTTCGCACGTTTAGAATTATTTGTGCAGAAGGAAAGTCAGTTAATTTCGAAAATAGGTCTAAAGTTGAATATATTTAAAAGTGGCGTCCAACAGTACAAATGTCTGCATATTCCGCTTTTTCGTTTTGTTCTCACGTTTTCATCAGATAGAAAATAAACGCCTTTAAACAAATAGCGTTTACTAGCATTTATTTTCTATATGAAATAAAAATGCATCATTAATGCGCCTGTAATTTTCAGTCTCTTGTTATATCATATTTCTCTATGATTTTTGTCATAAAATAAATATAGTTTTCAACTACGTGCATATACTAGACAAGAAAAAACAAGAACAACAAGTCTGTGTCTTGTTCACATTTACAGCATTAAACAAAACACAACTAAAAACTAGAATGCAATTGCGCGGCGCACAAGTTGCGATGTCGACAGACTCTGTCTCTGACAGAACCTACCGCTCTAAGCAGATCCTACCCGTAGGCTGTGAGCATGGTATTTTTGCTTTTATTTACTCAATATATATATATACAGGGTGATGCATAACCTTTTGCTAGGGGGTACAGCTCCAACGACAAATGATATAAAAATGAATTACATACCAAATAAAAGCTCATCGAAAACGGGATTAACGGGTATAACTGGTAATCCATAGGTTGATTATGAGCTATAGAATTATGGACGTTTCTATCTGGAGCGTCATAACGAATGATATTTTCTATTTTTCTCGTGTTCATTTATGATCCTAAGATTAGTGTCTCTTCCAAAAGATGCGCCACGAAATACTCTACAAAAGCATACTCAAACTTTAGTTTTAGACCTTCAATCAAGAGAACTATGTAAATTATATGAAAGGCGGAAAAACTGAAAACTTCCTAAATTTGATATGTTTTTTGACTAGAACTTTTTTCTTCTGCTATCAT